CCCAGGCTGTGCAGGGGATCTGGAAGCAGCCGAGCAGAAGCCCCCCCAGCCCTCCCTCCAGCCCTCCCTCTCTACCGTCTTCCTCCGCCTCTTCCTCCTTCACCGCCTCGCCCCCGCTGCTGATCGCGCCCGAGCCTGTGCTGGTGGGAGGGCGGGCGATCACCTCCCATCCCGTCCCGCCCTCGTCTTCTCCCCCGGCCGCCACCACCCGAAGAGCCGACCGTGCGTCGAAGTCTCGGTACTGCGTGGCCCTGACCAGGGCCTGGGCGGAGGGGCCGTCGAGGCGCAGGAGGCGGGCCACGTCCTCCAGCCCGACCCGCACTTCTCTCGCCGTCCGCGCCATGCGGGGACCCAGCAGGCCCTCCTCGCCCCCCGGGCAGCCCCCGCCGGCGGGCAAGGACGCGGAGAAGTGCTGGCAGATCCTTTGCGCGATCGTCTTCCCCTGCTCGCCGTAGAGGGCTTCCCTTGCATAGTCCACGACCCGGTCGTGGGTCCGCGCGCGTTCGATCAGCTGCCCGCGCTCCGGGTAGTGGTCGCGCGACAGACGTGAAAAGAGGACGCGCTTGTTTCCAGGGGGCTTCCCCGGCGGGTTGGGCACCAGCCGGGCAGTTTTTTTCACATGCCCTTGTCCGACCAGGCGGTCCAAGAGGAAGCTAGGAGTCGCGCCCTTGAGTCCCCGGCCTTTGGCCTCGGCGTCCACCTCCGCGCCGGTCAGTCCCCTCGCCTTTGACGCGGCCAGGATCTCCAAGATCTCCGTCCCGTGGGTCTCTTCGGGCAGGTCCGAGGCGTGCAAGGCGCCCAAGGCGCGAAGACGGTGGTCTTCGGAAGCTGTCGTGGTGCCGAGGGGGAGGAATCAATCAGGGGCCAGGGGGAGAGCAGAGGGGGAGGGAAGGGGAAAGCCTTGCAGGCGCCCACACGCACGTACCAATAACCATGACGCTGTCCCACGCATCCAGAGACAGGGAGTCCAACTCCTCTGCGTTTAGAGGCGCGTGCTGCGAGTGCATACGGTAGGGAATGGACAGGGTCAATCGCCGGTGGCCAGAGGGCTGGCTATCCTCCTGTCGAATCTACTGTGGTCGTACAGGCATGATCACGCATTTCCTTCCCGACTTTGTCCCGTCATACCGCCCAATTTTCCGCTTTGCAATTCTTTTCCCCCTTGATCGCTCCTCTTTGGCTCCCCGGCCTCGCCACTGCCGTCTTCCTGCAGAACACATACTTGCGTTGCCGGCGGAGAGCGCGCCACAAGAATGCCTTCAGAGCAGAATCGCAGCCCACCTCGCATTCATCCCATATCTCCTTAACCGTGCACCCTTCCCTGCCTGTGAAACATTTTGCGCGGAGATAAGAGCCGGTGGAGGAGGAAGAGTCCATGTGAGGGGGCGAGGCAGCAGCCTCTTTGTCGATGAGGTGTCCACTGTGTAGGCATCTCCATGTTTCACAAGAAACACGTGCACATGGCCCCTTTGTTCCCTTCAAAAGTGTCTCCACACTTTCAAGTCCATCATCGTTTTGCGGCACGGGGGGAGCATATTGAAGCATAGGAGAGCGATTTTTTAATCCTTCCCCATCCGGCCTACCTCGTCGCGCAACATGGTCAAGGGCTGCTTTGACAACAACTTGGGGTGGAGCCCGGCTAGCCCTGCCCCCCGCCGAGGCGGACTGCTCTGGCATGGCCACTGAGGAATGGGGTTGGGGCGTACGATTTGAAGACGGTGAAAAAAAAGGTAAGCTGGTGTTCAGTGAAAACAGGGTCCAGGTCCTATCAAGCGTTGCATCGCTCTTCAATTTTATACATCGTAAAATAAATTTCGTGTCGCCATCATCTTGACCACAGCCTTGCTCGCAACTACGATGGCAAATATGTCGAAAACCTATTTTGCAAGTTTCGGCCCTCGTCTCACTCGCGCGACTTAACTCAAGGGAGTCGGATGATATCCACTAGGCGACGGAGAAGAAGAGCAGAGCACGTCCGGCGTTGTCACGCGTTCGAGTTCTATGAAGGCCCGTTGGTAGAAGTTAAAAAAACTAGTGCCTTACAGGTGCCTTTAAAGACGTACAACCTAAAGCCAGACCACAACGTGCTACCGCCTGCGCGACGAGAAATGATCATCTCCTTCACGACAGGATGAGCGGGAGGTTGTTGCTTGGGCCCATTGTTTCGTCCACTTTTGGCAAAAAAATCAACTGGATGCTTTCAAAACCATGCAAGTGCTCAAACGTCTTTGATCTTGTTGCCCTTGGTTATCCTGTACACTCCCTTGACTTTTAGAAAGCCACCGCATCCTCCTACTTATCGCATTTTGACCCTGCTACAGACATACAGCAAGCTCCGAGTCATTAAACGCATGTCTACACTACCACACAATTTTACCGGACACGCAATTTTGCAATACATCCCCCTTCACCCCAGCCTCTTATTTCCAAACACTTACTCGTCGATACCATCCTCTCCCTCCTCCGGGCCTGCCTCGTCATACACCAAGCTACTCGCCGCCCCCCCCGCCGCGCAGAGCAATACACACTGATCCGCAAACTCTTCCAATGCGCTGTCTTCCCCCGCCAGCGCGTTCTCCACCAATAGATCGTACGCCATCTCTACCTGCGACACCTCCTCTTGCTTGGTTGATCGGATCACCGAGAAGATCAGTTTCTGCTTCTGCGTTACCGTGAGACGCCCTTCGTGGCAGAGCTGTCGGACCGCATCCACCGTCTTCCGACCCAGGTCCTCCAGACCGTCATTTGCCCCGTCTCCGCCACCCCGTCGGCCTCGCCCGCCGTCCAAAGACCCTGAAAAGAGTTCCCCCCC